TAAATCTCTTTAAGGTATGCTCAATCAGTTTGAACCAGCTAACCAAAATCGTCATATTACCGAAACCGAAGCGATTTCTACGTGGTTCAGTTTTAATTCCTGCTTTTTTTTTCAAATTGTAAACTGTCAGTTTGAACCGACAGTTCAACGTTTTTTCTTTTTAAATATATATATATTAATCTAACCGGTCTGGCGGTATGACGGGCGAAGGCCGCGGAGCAGCAAGCATGAGGGTGGTGATTTTCTATAAGAGAATATACTTGGTTTTGTTTGTTTGTTTATCGTTTAATTTGCGGTATTTTTTGTGAGATATGAAAATTTATATCGATAATATAAAAAAATAATAATAGTATTTTATATTGAAAGTTGAATTTTTGTAAGAGAATAAATATATATGTTTATATTGGAAAGTATTCCAGAAGAAATTTTATTGGGCAAATAAATTCAATATTTATAGAAAATCGTATTACTAAAAAATACAAAAAAAAAACCTTCAAAATTAAACGAAATGTAACACACCTTATAATTTTATATATTTTTAAGAACTTTATCCTTATTATTTCTATATAATAATTTTATAAATTGTATTTAAAGAAGTAAAAAAATATAAAATTATACTATCTCTCCATAAAAAAAAATATGTAGATATGTGTAGATATGAAAATTAAATAATAATAATATTTTAATTGTAAACATATGGTAGATTAAAAATAAATAAAAATAGATGAGTGTATTTTTAGAAGTTATTAGGGTGTATTTGTTTGGGGGATTGGATTGGATTTACATTATTCATCCAATTTTTTCCCCCTAAAAATATTAAATCAAACACCTATTTTTCATTATTTATATTATACTAAAAATTAATTTTACATTCAAAACATCACATCAACACCTATTTATATCACATCATACAACTATTCAAATTTAAAATTTTTACTATTCAAATCTCAATTCAAAATCCAAAGCCCCAAACAAACACACTGTGTAATACTAATATATTTTGCCGCTAAAATTGTTTATATATATGTATAAATAAAAGTGTATAAGTTTAGTAAACAACAAAAAATAAATACTTACATAAGTTTAGTAGACAAAACGTTAAAAAAAAATAGCAAAAAATTTCATAGGTATAAATAATAAATTCGAGTATAATGTCATGTTGATTAAATCCAAACTATCACATCATATTACAAATCAACAAATTAAATTAGTTTTTGAGAGAAAATGTCATTAATTTTTAATATTAATTAGTATATTGATTTTATTATTTACATGCTTATATTAATCTTTATATTAATCTTTGTAGATCAATTTTTCTTTGCTAATAAAGCTATGTTAGCATAAAAAATAAATAAATAAAAATTATATTTATTTTGTCCTAGTCGTTCAATTAGAAAAAAAAATTAAAAAATTAAAATGATTGAACCAACGCGATAGATTGAATATAAGAACAATATGACGAATTTCAAACCACTGTGAATGAAAATTACATTCATTAAATTTTGAACTCTTATAATTTTTTCATTTTGAAATAATTTTATATCATATCATATATCAATTCTTCCGGCAGTACTTTCAAATATATGAAATTTCATTTCTATATTAGACATTCAACATATAGTAATTCGTTTTTCTTAAAAGATTAAAAACAATATTGGAATATGACTATTTACGAAATTCATAATTTATTATGAGATTTTTTTTATCTATTTTTGTTTCTCATCATAAAATACTTCTTAACTACCATAAGGTAAAATAAAAGGATCAACATCACACGTATTTTTTGTTGCAGTGTGAAACTGATTTGAAATCACTAACGGAATTATGTTCCTAAAGTGTGTAGTTAACGCAATTTTTTCTCTAATGTCTTTAATAACGGAAAAAGAGGATTTAGACACAAAAAAAACTTTGTTAGAAAATTGATATTTTTTTTTAGTGAATAAAGTTGTTGATTTGAGTTTTTATTTAAATAATATTTTGATATAATATTTATAAGAAGAAATAAATTAATATATTTATATTGAATAATGTATAAATTTTAATTTGAAATCGCATAGAATAAATATTTTTTTAAAAAAAAGTTTTAATATTTTTTTTCAAAAATTTGTCAACTAAATTGAAGTTACAAAAATCATATTAAATTTATTTTGATAGTTTTGGAAAATTTTAATTTAGTCAACTTTAATTATATAAATTAACAAATTTTTATATCCATATTTTAGAAAATAGTAATTTAGTTAATTATAATTTATAAATTTTGCCTCCAATAAATATAATACAATGTGATCATCGAAACATGAAAAATGTTTGAAGAGCAACTCATGAAACACGTGATCATCAAAATGTTTGAAGAGCAACACATGATAAACATGATCATTAAAATGCATCATTACCATTAGGGGCATGACCAAACCAAAATTTGGGAGACGTCTCTTTCACATGCAATTCGGTCGGCTCATCTTCCTTGAACTCGAAGATGTCGACGGAATTGTTTGAATCATCCATGATTTTAGTTTTAGTCATGACAACAAATTCGATGTCAGATGCCAAAAGACGCCAAGATAAGATTGCACTATAAATTTGTAAAGCAAATTATGGCAAATGACATTATAAGCCTGGATTTAGAGATTTTGGAGCAAACAATAGTGGAGATAAAAAAGAAAATAAAGATGCCAATTGCTCTTTGTCCAAAAATTTGATTTTGGAGAATGACATTTGATCTCTTATTTATTTTGGAAATATTACGTTTATAAATCAAAGTGCACGTTTCGTTATGTTTTTTCAAAAATATCACAACATATTTTTCCCCATTCCTAAAAAATTGCATTGTTTTGTTTTGTTTTTAAAATTTATTAACCAATATAATTGTAATATAAAATTATAATAATGTTGTTATTTTGTTATAATAATATTATAATTTGTAGAGAAGGATTATGATAGCATCATACTAATTATATTAATCAACGCATAAGATGTAGATAATCAAAATATATATATTTAATTAACACAACATGAAATATGTACTGACAATTATGCTTAATATTTTGTATTGTATTAATATATTTCATATTTTGAAGTCAATAATAGTATGTATTGTATGAATTATTGTCATATGGTGAATTATTATAACATTCACCAACACATATTTAATAATATCATTTCAATATGAAGACAAATATATTCAACAATTAATAAAAATTCCCAAAAAATCCAACATAATCAACAATTGTAGCACTCTCCACAAACTTAGCATTTCCACTTTTTTTGGGTAAATTTTGGAGTTATAACATACAAGTTGTCAAGATTTATATTTTATTTCTTTTGTTGCATTCTTCAATATGTATGAATTTTTTTTAACAGTGGTGGAGGTTCTTGGTTTTTTTTATTTTATTTTATTATTATAACTAGTCTTTTCATGTATATATATATATTGTTGTGAATTTATAGATCGAATTCGATGGACTGAGCTAAGAAGTGAGTCAACTTATTTTATTTATCGATTGATTTGTTAGAATTAGATCTCGAAATACAATTTTTTGCACATTTTTCACAAATCAAACCCATTTAATGGGAGGATAACATTTGCATAAGTCGTCTTCTTGTAGACACAACATAAAATTGATATATGCAACTTAATACCATCTCATAAATATTACATATTTATAAGAGATTTCACTTAAATCTCATTTTCTACCGTAAGAAGTTCTATCATTCATATTTATTGTGTGCTAATCATATGAACTTATAATTTGAAAATTCCACTAGACACTTCTCATGCTTCTCATGGGAATGAATTTCTTAAAAAAAAAAATAAATTCTTTTTCATTTTTATTTTCACAATTTTCATTATTTTTGGACAAATGAAATTATCCCATTTTTTTTCTGTTTTGTTATGGTTCTTTTGCATCATAATCATCAAAAGTTTTTTATATATTATTTGACACATAGATTATAGGCTTATCACTAATGTTAGAATATGAAACTATTGAATTATTCACCAAATTATTCAAGAGGATGTCATACTGGGATAAATTGATCTTAAACAATGTTAAAGTTTCACTTATTTACTAACCAATTGTACATATTCTTAAACAATTTATTGATCTATTTCAATCTTTATATATGTAATATATATATATATCCACTATTGTACTGACTTTTGCTATTGTTCATACAAATCTTTTACGATCAAGTTCAATTTTAAATTGTCAAAAAAAATATCTTTTTAATTTTGATGAATTTAATATTCGGGTTATGTCCATCTTTAAAGACAATTGTTATCTGACTTAACAATTTTTATTAAAAAAAAGAAAAAAAAAAGAAAGAGTAAATAATTCTAATACATAAAAATATAATTATATATATTAATTATACTCAAATTTATTTTAAATTTATAGAAATAATAAAATGATAATCCAATAAATATTATATATATATAATCAATCTACCATTAATTATCAAACTATTAATATTCTAAAATCATTCAAAAATAATCTTCCGAATTCAAACTTTTTTTTTTCAAATTCAAGTAAATTAAATCTAAATCACAAAAATTTTAAATAGAAAAAATTTCAAAACTTATTAGTTTAAATGAAAAAATAGAATTTGTTTGAATGTTATTTTAAAATGAATATTAATTTAATTTTTTTTTATATAGGATTTTTATATGATATTTTATAAAAAAATAATATATTTTTATCAAATAATATTAACTCAATTTGAAAAACAAAAAAAAAAAAAAAAAAATCTATAGTTATCCCTTTATTTTTAGAAGGAAAACTTAACTTATAAATAATGTACAATCGGCGACTGGGAGTTGTACATTAAACGACCTTTCATATTCTCCGTCAGATGATCCCAAATCCAACGGCTATCCGTCCACTTTCCAAAATTATCATCTACAGGTGATCCACATACACCAGTTGGACAAGAGCCGTTAGATTGAAGTCCACGTCTTATATAGGTCTACAATGCATTTGAAAAAATTGCATCCGGCGCAGCAAATAATTCCTTAGTGAGCCCTCTCGCAGACAAACTCAAACCAAAGCCAAAGCGAGGTTTCCATTTTACAGAGCTTCAATGGAGCGGCACACCACGACGAGCCGCGCCGAAGCGGAGCGCCTCCTTGGGATCGCCGAGAAGCTCCTCCGCTCCAAGGACTATGCCGGATGTAGGGATTTTGCCATTCTGGCGCAGGAGACGGAGCCGTTGCTCGAGGGTTCCGATCAGATCTTGGCGGTGGCGGAGGTGCTCCTCGCCGCCGAGGGCAAGCGGCTGAGGCAGAATCACCACGATTGGTACGCGATTCTACAAATTCCCCAACGAACCGACGAAGTTGAGCTGATTAAGAAGCAGTATCGGCGACTCGCGCTCCTCCTCCATCCCGACAAGAACAAATTCCCGTTCGCCGACTCCGCGTTCCGCCTCGTCGCCGATGCGTGGTCGGTATTGTCGGATTCAGCGAAGAAATCGTCGTTCGACAGCGAATTCGCCAATCGATTCACGAAGGTGGATCTCGGATCGAAGAAACATCACCAGCAGCAACCTCGTCCGCAGAAGAAGCAACCAGCGCAGAGAGGAGACAGTTCGAGCCAGAAATTACCCGTCCGTCGCAGCGGTAGAAGCTCCGGAGGCCCCGCAACCACCCCCTCCGCCGCCGGAGTGGACGCAAATGTGAGGAATAGCGGCGGCGGAAATCCAGGATGGTTGGGGAATTTCTGGACGACGTGCCCCTACTGTTACAATCTGTACGAATTTCCTAGGGCTTACGAAGGCTGTTGCTTGAGGTGCGACAATCAAGCCTGCCGGAGAGCATTTACGGCCGCCGAGGTCCGGTCAATACCGCCGCAGGTGCCAGGAAAGGACGCCTACTATTGCTGCTGGGGTTTTTTTCCGATGGGGTTCACGGCTGGGAATGCAGAGGCAGCAGCGAAAAAAATCCCCAAATGGATGCCCTCCAATTTTGGTGGTGGTGCTGCCACTGCCACCGCCACCGCCGCCACACCAGTGTCGGCGGCACCTCCTCCTCCTCCTCCGGTGAACATGACTTCCGGAGGCACTCAGTCATATGTTGCTGCCTCAAACCCTTCGGGGACGAAGAAGAGGGGCAGGCCAAGGAAGTATTTCTAGGCTGGTTCGGGGCGAAGAATCGAAAGGTCTGTAGGTATGACTATGTTGGTTGAATCAAAAGGGGCCTCAGGTAAATCTTTACCTTTTTGGCTTTGTAGCAGTATGTAGAATTGTAGCGTTATCTTTGTTCTGCCGTAGCTGTAATTTTGTTTGGAGCCATGGTTAGTTGAAAATACCTTTATTTCTCCATGTTAGATATGCTTTGAATGACTTGTGAAGAAGCTTCAGCTCAATTTGCAAGAATGTTGGTATCTGTTGGTGCAAATTCGAAGTATTGGCTTATTTGTTACCATGGATTGATCAATTGATACATTTGAGTAATCATCTAATTTTCTAATGCAATTTTGTTTTTGTAATGGCTTGATTATATGAATCTAGTTTGGTAAAGAAATGTATGATTATCAATATTCTAATATTCGTTTGATTTGTGTAGAGTTAAAAGTTCTTTGCTTAACAGATGTTCTTTTGTGTAGTTATTTTTAAATATGAACAGTCGGTATTCTTTTTTTTTTTTTTCCATTAATTGAATTCATTTTCATTCACTTCCTATCAAATGCTGAAATGGGTTAGTGATTATCTCGTTAAAATGCTCAACTGATGTGAAGGTCTATCATTATGCATTTAGGTGTTTTTAGTTGCTCCAATGCATTACTTGCCTAAGATCAAATGAATGTTTTCAATGATCAAAATGGTTTTGTTTTAGGGTCTGATGTAATGTTTTGCATAGATCAAAATGGTTTCGATTAGTTGGTAGTTACATTTATAGACGAATGGATTTGTTGTTGAACTACATGCTCCATTGTGCAATTTCCTTCGTTTTTGTTGTTGTTTTGCCGTAGTTTCATTCTCTCATAGGATATTTTCTTAGTGTTGCTTTAATTTCCACATCGGTGTTGTTCTTGGATGAAATTTGATGTTTGTAGATTAGTTTTTACGGGGGTTTAAAACATGGGTTTTTACCGGCTTGCGGAAACATTGGCAAGAATGCTCGGTAGCCTAAAACTTACATCATCCTGGCACTAAGTATGTAGAAATCTCAACTTTTTACCATTGCTTTTGGAATTGAAATTCATAGGCCAAATAACAATATTTAAACTGAGATCCATCTCAATTTTAGTCTCGCAAGTTATATTTATTTTTAGTTATTTTCAAGCGTCGAAATGGTATATGTAACAGAGTTCTTGGCAGACTTTACATGATTTATTGTCATGCTAGAAATTCTATAAATTTTGACACGAAAGATATCGCGCAATATAATGCTGTTATCCTATTCGAAGCCGAAGATGCATAGGGAACTCATTTGTGTCAAAACTATCTATTTGTTAATAGTTATTCTCATCTCCTTTTGATATATACTCCAGTTTTCTTACAAGTGAAATTGGAGTAAAAGTTGCAAATTTTTTAGGCTATTGAAATTTTACCAAGTTTATTTTAATTTGTTTATATTTTTTACATTTGTTTTTACTTAATCCTCATGTAACAATAGCTTGTGATCTCTGATGGTGTGTTCATTTGGAATTTATTTTAGTTTTATTATATAGTTCCTGTCAGCCGTATTTAGCCCTCTGATCTGGACACACAGGTGGTGTTATTTTGTGGCTTTTAAACAGGTTTACTATTCAATTTTTTTTTTCTTTGAAAAATATCACATTAAATAATTATTTTTTTATATACATTATACTATAAATTTATTTTACATTTAAATATCATATAAATTTTTATTTATATTACATCTAACACATCTATAGAGATTCACATTGAGAAATAAATATTTTTATTGAAAAAAGGGGAAAAATTAAAAAAATGGTATTTTTTGAAATATATATATATACCGCGTACGGGAAGAGGTTGGGCAAAATGGGAGCCAAAATTATATTAAAATATTATTTAAATATAAAATGTAATCAAAATCAAATAAATCATATGCACTTTAAAAATGCAATGCTATGTTATGAAAAAAAATGGTATATTATGCTGTTAATTCCAGATTTGCAATCCAACAAATAATAATGGAAACCTTACCTTTTATTGGGCTAATTAACGAAATTGAATGTGAAGTCCAAACAATTCGAAAAAGAAAAGCTCATAATTTGTTGTAGTAAAAATATTTGTTTATTAGTGGAGTATTGTTTAGTCCCTTCGTTTCAAACACCGTGAATATTTGTATTTAACACGCAAATTTAGGTGGAGAGTATTAAATATGATAATTTGAAATAATTTGGATATTAAATGATGTGATTGAACAAATAAATAATTATTATTATTTTTTATTTGAACAATATCATGAGATAAAGTGAAGTATATATTAATATATGTGTATAAATATTGTTAATTATTTTTAAATTTAAAAATATTACAGTGAATTTAGAACAAATAAAAAAAATATATTACAAAGATGTTTGGGAGGGAAGATTACAAAAAGAAGATATATTTATTTACTAATGCAGCATCACGTAAGGTAAGGACATGAATCACAGGAATCCCTCGTGCTACAAATCCTTCAACTTTAGTCTATTTTAATTTTTTTATCACTGAAAAATATAAACAAAACAAAAGTTACCACTACCCCCACATGATTATACATAAATTTTTATATAGGAGTATATAATACTCCTAAATTTATGTCTGTTTTATTTATAAAATATATATTTATTTATTTAATTAAAATTTAAATAAAATTTTCATAATATTTCATTTTATTTTTTTATCTACTTAATTTTAATATTAAAATATTGCTCCCTCCTTTCCACATATCATGTCCACGTTTCTGTCCGTCTCACATGACATGTCACTTTTCTTTTTATAGAAAATGATTACACACTTTAATTTATTTTAAATTTTTTAATTTTTTTAAAAATTTTAATTAAATTAATTAATTATCTTAATATTAATTTATAATTATTTATATTATAAAATAATTATTTTTACTAATATATTCTTAATTATCAACTAATTATACTCTTTCTAAAATACAGTATTAGCAGACGCGGTACGGTACGTGTGAAGAATTATTGTATTAATTTTAAATATCTCATAATAATAATAATAATAATAATAATAATAATATGCATTGGTTGAGATTGAGGCAATCAATCCACGGTTAGCTAGTGCCCAATAAATTTAATCAATTAATTAATTAAATTATTGTGACACCCACCCATGCAATAATTATTGCTGATATACAGAAACTCCTTTTCATTATTGATGTACTTATCAAATTACTTGGTCATGTCATGTGATGTGTCCATCCCAAAAAATAATAATAAACAAAAATCTCTACTTATCATATAAAATAAAGTTGATAATAGCAACTACCAATGCAAGTGCCCATTTATTTATTTTTTTAAAAAAAAAAATGGAACAAATGGGATCCACAGTGTCACTTTTCAATTTTATTGGTGGAAAATGAAACACCAGTAGAGTGTTGATGATAATTCTTGTTATTCCAAATGTGTGTTTTCTTTTAAACAGTAGAACAACACAATTAATTGAGTTGGACATAAGATTTAAAAAATATTGATATTATATTGATAGTTGATAAAAAAATATTGATATTATATAGATAAAATATTTTTTTATCCTTACGAATGTATTAGTGTAAAAATGAGTGGTAATTGTGTAATAAAAATAAAAAAGTGGATAATTTTATGGTGATATAATTATTTATGAAAACAAGACTATTATTTTGGGACAGATAAAAATACTAAATAAGACTATTGTATTGGGACGGAGGAGTATTTATTAGATATTTTTTTATTTGAAGTATAAAAATTATATAAATAAAATAAAAATAATAAAATATACAATATATTTATTTTTATTTTTTTAAAAAAAAAAAGCATATGTAATAGAAACCCTAAAAGAACAAACCCACCTCTCTTTCCCCTACAAAATAAAATAAAATAAAATAAAATAAAATAAGCTCCCTTTCCCTAGCTATTTGGATAATTTAATTTTTTGTTCACCACTATTATTAGTCTTATCAATATTTATTAAGTCCACTTTGGACCACATTTTTGCCCCCCACCCCCACCCCCCTTAATTACTTATTTAAATTAGTTAATTTATTGCAACTGTTATTTGTTTAATCAATTGTGCTTTAATCTAGGTGAATAAAGTCAAAGAATTTATAGGCAACTGTTTGTTTATAGACTTTTCTTCACATTTTTATTATTTATATATACATAAAATTTACTAAGGATGTTTTTGTCTGGGTTTGGATTTTTGGATTGGAATTTGAATAGTTAAAAATTTGAATTTGAATAGTTGTATGATGTGATATAAATATGTATTGATGTAATGTTTTGAATATAAAATTAATTTTTAGAATAATATAAAAAATAAAAAATAAGTGTTTGATTTGATTTTTTAGGGGAAAAATTTGTGTGAATAATAGAAATTCACACAAATTCTTCAAACAAACACACCCTAAGTTCATTAAATTAAATATATATATATTTTTTTATTCTTTTTATACTAAAAAACTAATTTTAAATTAAAATTTATATTAATAACTATTTATATTACATTAAATAGGTATGATATTATTTTATTATTTTTTTATTAAATAATAATATTGATAGTTTAAAGTAAATTTAATATATAAATTAAAAAATTTAAAAGATGTATTTAAATATTTTAAAAATTATTATCGATATTATTTTGTAAAAAATAAATTATAAGCAATACAAGTAAATAAAAAAATACTTTTATTTATTTATAATTAGTATAAATCAATTTTATAGAAGAAATAAAATTTTAAATATAAATAAAAATATTTATTTTTTAAACAGAAATAGAAGTAAGAAAATTTTGAGTGGGTTCAGTGACGGAACCAGCTTTCAAATCTTGGTGTTTTCTTCTCTCGAAGTCACTGTATTTTTTATTTTGCTTTAACCCATGTGAGAAAAAAAAATGAAGAAAAAAAAAATAGTATAATAGTTTAAAATTTAGGGGGCAAAGTCAAAATATTTGTATTATTTTTTTAATTTTTATATTTCTAAAAAAGAGAATTGGGGATTGAGGGGGCAATCATTAAGGCCCAATGTAGTTCCAATTTTGAGTGGGTTCCATGTTATTTAGTTAATTAAATTTTAATATTTATTTAATATATTTTAATTTAAATAAATTTTACTTAAAATAAAAAAAAATATCAATGGTCAAATGACAAGTAAAAAAAAAAAATGTCAATTAAGATGTGAAAAAGTATATAAATTATGTTCTATGAAAATAAAAAATGAATAGCTTTGTTTATATAAAATTTTTAAAATTTGTAATTTTGAAGAATATGTAATAATAATAAAAAAAATGAGTATACAATGTGATGCCTCCATGAGAGCAAATGGATATTTAATATTTAATCGGTCCTCTTTATTTCTATATTTCTTATGTAACTAAATATTTTATTTATATTTAAAATTTTTTATTTTTATAAAATTAATTTTAAATTAAATATAAACAAAAAATATATTTTATTATTTATTTGTATTATATAAAAAAATTTTATCTACAAAATAAAAATAATATTTATATTATATATTTTATTCAGATATAATGCTAAATGATATTATAAATTATTATTAATAACTTACTAATATATTATCTACCAAAAACTAAAGTCTGTTTGTCACATATTGGAATATTGATATTATATTGGTAGTGGATAAAAAGTACATTGTAAAAGATTTTTTTGCCTTTGCGAGTGTAGTAGTGTAAAAAATAGTGACAATTGTGTAATAATAATGAAAAAGTAAATGTAGTTTTATACTGATATAATTATTTATGAAAATGATACTATTGTTTTGGGACGAATAAAAATTGTAAATAAGACAATTGTATGAGGATTGAGGAAATAATATGTATTAACGGGTATATATATTATCATTTTTATAATATTTATGAAAAATTATAAAAATAAATCATAATGTGAATAAATTCATAATATCTTCAATAAATTAATATAAATATAATAATAATAGTAATTAAACAAATCCAAAGACACGTATTTAATTTAATCTTATCCATGCACTCCTTTCCCGAAGAATTCACTGAAAACAAAAAAAAAATGAAAAAGTGGAGCCAAACACGGCGTTGTCCGTCTTGTCTTGCCATAATTGGAGGGCTCTAATTTTATACATTTTCCTGACACTGCGCTTTTTCGGAAATCGCATTTTCCCAATCGGTCCACTCAACCGCGCTTTTCATTTCTGTTTAATTAAAACCAGGGGCTCTGCTAATTTGCGCGACAGGCGGTGGGACACGTGTCGCGCTCTACCGCCGCCTTGTCCTTACGTGGCGCATGCTGAGGGGCCGCCAGCATGCAGCCCTCTGGCGCATTTTAGCACAACAGAGTCTGCATCTAGATATATATATATATATATATATTGCAGAATGACCCTGAAGGCCTGATTTCTCCGCCTTCCTCCCTCTGAGATTCGTTCTGCAATGCTCCCTTTCATCTTGATGCAGCAGAAAGCGCACATTATTTAATTATTATAAAGTTCGCCTGCGGGGTTGATTTTGGTGTTGTTGCTGAGGAGGAGTTGGATATTTTGTGGAATTTGATTGTGTTTTGGTTGCTTTGATTCAGTGTTGCTACGGAAATTTGGTTTGTTTGTGGATTTCTGAATTAATCAACGCTGGCGGCTGTGTGGTGTGGACTTGAAGTTTGAGGTTTAGACTTTGATCATTAGTTTGCTGTAGAAAGTAATCTGTTGGCGGCGGCGGTGGTGGTGGAGCTACTGCGTTTTGGATTCCTCTTCGACGGCGAGTGTACGGTGACGGTGTAGGTTTGCAGGGAAGATTGCGAGTTGGTTGAGGTTTGAGGGCGACGTGTAAAAGGAGGTGGGGAAATTCTATGAATCAGGTCTTCACGTGGTGAAAAGATGCCGCATCGAACGACTTACTTCTTCCCGAGGCAATTTCCGGACAGGAGTTTCAATGAATCATTAAAGGCGTTGGAGGATCACGAGAAGAAGTTTGGGATTGAGGATGGGAAATCTGAAGCTCGTCAATCCGAGGTCGTCGCTCTCAAGGCACCAACCAATAAAGGCGATGATGCTAAGACAGGTGAGGATAGGGACAGTTATGGCGGACTCTCCATTGGAGTCACGGCCACGGGGGACAAGATTCACGAAAAGCAGCTGGCCGCCTTTGTAAAGTGGCTTTCGGAGAAGAAGCAGAAAGAGAAATCGAAACGCCATGTCGATCACGTGAAGATCAGACTGTACGAAAACGACGATGGCATCGAAGAGGAAGATGAAGAGAAGAACCTACTTCTGCCTCCGCCGGCACCTCCGGCGGCGGACGGTGACCGGCGGCAGGATTCGCTGCGGCGGCTGCCGAGTAATGCGAGTAATTACAGCAACACTGCGAATCAATATCATGGTAAGGAAAGGGGGTTTGAGAGGCAGGTTTCGCTGCAGAGATTGTCGAGTGGAGGGAGCACCAGCTACGCCGGGAGCTTATTTTCGGGGGCTACTTTAGACGGGAATTGGTCTTCAACCACTACCGGAATACTAAATGAGTCCTCCGCCGTAAAGGAGGAGACGGAGGAGGAAGGCCTTGGGGCCGGCGAAAATGTGGAAAATGGACAGTCACAGAAGTACAAAGAAGGCTACCAATTGTTGTTGACATTGGCTAAACGTCTGACACAACAGGCAACACTTTCAGCCGAGCCTCTGCTCCAGCAAGAACGAAGAATTGGGGGATCTTCTGATGCTGAAATTGTATCCTATCGCCTCTGGGTATGAGATGATCTTGATGATCTTTAACTGATTTTATTCTTGGAATTCTTGTTGCAAGTCATTATCAGTTGCTTATATTTGAAAGATTTTGTTCTTTTTTTTTTTTTAAATCTTTTGTCATTCTCTATTGTTTCAGGTGAGTGGCTGTTTGTCTTACAATGACAAAATTTCGGATGGATTCTATAACATTTTGGGAATGAATCCATATCTCTGGCTGATGTGCAATGATATGGAGGAAGGCAGGAGGATGCCTTCTTTGATGGCACTGAAAGCGGTTGATCCTGAAGAGGCATCAGTAGAAGTGATTCTTGTGGATCGACGAGGAGATTCACAGCTGAGGGAGCTAGAAGATAAAGCTCAAGAGATATATTTCTCTGCGGAGAGCATGTTTGTTCTTGCAGAAAAGCTTGGGAAGCTTGTTGCTGTCTACATGGGGTATGAGCTGTACTGATTTACTACATACATTTATGTTGACTGTTATCTCATGATGCTTTAATGCTTATGAAATTGAAGGGGCTCTTTTCCTGTGGAGCAAGGTGAACTTAATCTTGGTTGGAAACTTGTCAACAAGAGACTAAAGGATTTCTATAAGTGCATTGTGATTCCAATAGGTAACCTGTCTGTGGGGCTTTGCAGGCACCGGGCTATCCTGTTCAAGGTGGGTTCTTTCTACTTTTTTACTTGAAAATCAACCTTTCTTACCATGACACTTGTTACTGCCCGCTTGAATAGTTCCAAGAAATTCGTGATCTTCTGACAGTAGTTATTTCACCCTAATACACTGTCAATACATTGTTACAGGTTCTGCATATGAGAAGTTTGTTTTTTATTTGTCAAAAGCTTTAGTTGTGTTGAGCTTCACTCTTCTTATGTCAGGTTGTAATTAGTGCTTAATATTAACATTGCAAATTAAGCTGAAAAATGCTCAGGTTGCAGCAAATTTTAAAAGTCTTTGCAATTTCTTTGATTCTTGCCTGCCATTGTCTTCCACTTATTGCAATGAGAATGCCAGCAGGCTGATCAATGATATCGATACTTGTACTTGACATTGCTACTATTTGGTGGCTTCGAGATTTTAACAGACACCTTACTTCTATGTCAGAAACTAGCAGACTATGTAGGGTTGCCTTGTCGGATTGCTCGAGGTTGCAAGTACTGTGTTTCTGATCATCAGTCTTCATGCCTTATCAAAATTGAAGATGAAAGTAAGCTTCCAAGGTACAATTAACTAAGCTTCCCTTTTTCACCTGCGGTAGCACTAAGCATTACAGTTTTGGAGTTAGATTTGCTGATTGAATTAACTAAAGAATGATTCCATATGCATGTAATAGATTGAGCTCACTAAACCTTGGTTCCCTACTTTTCAGATCTTTCAGTTTCTTGATGAGTCTTAGATATTTAGCTGATACCTGAAAGAATTCTTAGCATTTTCATGATATCTATTTAAATGGTGTTAGATTCCACAAAGTCACAGGTCTTTTAGCCATGTTGTTGGATAGTGGTTTTACACTTCTACACTTTGTATTTTAAATCTGTAAAATTGGTGTCCAATGGAGTTCATAGTGAGCATGATGATGATACTTGGAGATTGGAGATCATGTTTTGTATGGTGATTTGTCTGCTCTCATCCTCTTTCTTCTAGCTTTTCAAGGCCAAAGAGCATTTAAGTTTGATAGAAGTTCAACCATGCTTAGAAATATTTCATTGAATACTGGAAACAAGTGATCTCGTTTGATGCTACTTTCACTAAACCAGGGAATTTGTCGTTGATTTGGTCGGACAACCAGGAAATGTCCATGGGCCAGATTCATCAATCAATGGAAGTTCCCTTTCCTCTGTTCCTTCCCCCTTTCAAGTATCACATCTAACAGAATTTCAGCAAGATATGACTACTGAGGCTGATTTTCAGTCATTCAACTCAAAGCATGCATATAGAAATGACAATCCTGCATATTCAGGTGTGTTATATTTGCATGTCTCAGTAAAATTATTTAAAATTTCCTAGGGCAATTAACAAAAATTTTAATGGATTATCTGCAGTATGGGGGATGTAGGTGGAGCCATTACTGTTATATTTTGCATGTCTGATCTAGCAACCATCTTGTTGGAAGTGATAAAGAAGTATATTGTGTAGATGACTGTTACTAAGTTGTACTTAAAATCTTGTTTAGGTTATTTGAGAAAGTTTGCAGTCTTGATCCACACCCGGCTTTCCAGTTCTTTCTTCTTTCTTCTTTCTTTATTCCAGAACAATCCAAAATAGTACTTTTGGCTCTGTGAATGCTGCAAATAAAAAGTTTCTTTGATATGGAAGTGGCTAAATAAAAAACATTCAAGAAGAGAATAAATGAAGACGCATTGTATGAGCTAGTTTAGTAAAATGGAAGATTTTACTGGAGTCAATGCAGTTGAAAAAAAAGATGATTTTCTCTGATAACATCGATGACTTTTTGCAGTTAATGGGGATGAAACAAAGGATATTATACATTCTGAAAATAGAAAGAATGATGGCTGTGGTCCAGACGCATGTGTTGATACTGGTGCTGCAATATCTGGGGATAATTACCCTCGAGCAGGAGGTGATGAGATTATCATAAAACATACATACAAAAAGGAGATTGTTGTAGCAGGGAACGGAGCTTTGACTCATGGTGACGGGCCTCCCAGAGTAACCCTCTGTGATAGCAAAGATCTAATGGAGATTAAAAGTAAGTGCCAAGACCACAGGAAACATATCGCGGCAGTCATTCCTAGGTATCTAAATCTAGAACCTTCTCTTGCAATGGATTGGCTCGAGATCTCATGGGATGAATTGCACATTAAGGAGCGAATTGGTGCAGGTGGAGTTCTGATCCTTTATTTTTCATGTCACTTATCGTTTGCTGCTGTACTTATGTGAAGTATCAAATACTGATTATGTATTCTTTTGTTTATTCTTGTAGGATCCTTTGGCACGGTGCATCGAGCTGAATGGCACGGATCGGTCAGTTGTCTAAGCTTTCAGTACACCGATTGTTGTGAACTAATATTAGTTGGCCTCGTTCTCGGAGATGGGATTCTTTCAGTTATTAAGCATTATCTAATTAATGATTCTTCTCTTCATAAAAATCCTACACAACTAAGCAATAATAAATCATGAATTCTGTTCGCAAGCATCTTCATGTTTTAGGTGCCAATGGGGAAACTGTGAAATTTTTTAATTTCATTCTGCCTATTAATGAGATCTTTTTAGCATGATGTAATTCATTCTCTCTTTCTCTATCTATATATTTAAAATAGAGGAAAAAAGTTGCAGCAGAGTCATCAAACATTTTAGGCACATAATAAGTTGGGAGAAAGAAAGAAAGAAAGTCGAAACCGCACGATAGATAATATCAAGCATGTAGAGTTCTTTGGCATTCGGAATTTCCAATTATCAATAACTTGAATTTCTCCAATCATACAGGATGTAGCCGTTAAGGTTCTGACTATTCAGGATTTTCAAGACGACCAGTTAAAGGAGTTCCTGAGGGAGGTATGAATCAATGCTTGAACATTGAATTATCTGCCAAACATCCTTCCAAAGATTCTGTCTTAAGTAAGAGGTGTGCACAAAATATGTAGAGTTGAAATGTATTCTAATTCTTATGAATTTAAATCTTTAATTTCATTATATAAACAGGTTCTATCAGGTGAAATCATGTCACCTGCAGACCTGAATAGGTAGGTTTGAGTGTAGCAACACGATTCATTATGAGTTTACGGATTTCCTCTTACACGAGTTTGCATATTCTTTTTCTTTCATTGCACGATCAAAGCTAATTGTCACCTATAATTCTTACAAAATTTTCGGCCCTTAAATTTCCTATTGCATATGTGCATGCTTTCTACTCTATACCGCTGACTGCAAACTAATTACTATAGTGAATTCTTTACACTGTTCTTGATGAAGTTCTTATGTTGATTTCCAATATTTGTCACTGAAGGTTGCCATTATGAAACGCATTCGCCATCCAAATGTGGTTCTGTTCATGGGCGCTGTTACAAAACGTCCCCACTTATCCATAGTGACAGAGTATCTGCCGAGGTGAGTCCGGATTTCATTCAAATCCAAAAATATAAAACCATAACTTGTCTGCTAAAACAATTCATTGAACCAGGGGGAGTCTATTCCGATTGATACACAGACCAGCTGCCGGGGAGATTCTAGACCAGAGGCGACGCATTCGTATGGCATTGGATGTGGTGTGTTTTTGGTTCCCCACACATATTTTTCAAAGAGAGACACGATTCTTTTCTTCATTTATTCTTGCATGTTATGTGTAGGCAAAGGGTATCAACTATCTTCATCGTCTTAACCCTCCGATAGTCCATTGGGACCTAAAATCGCCGAACTTGTTGGTCGATAGGAATTGGACTGTGAAGGTAAATAGTTCTTGTATTACATGTCTGGAGTTGAAGGTTGAAATATCTATTGGATGTGTACCCTGATAATTGCTTGCTTTTTGACAAATTGGCTTAGGTTTGTGACTTTGGTTTGTCAAGGTTTAAGGCCAACACATTCATCTCTTCAAAGTCTGTTGCTGGAACTGTAAGTCTCTCTCTCTCTCTCTCTCTAGGCACCAGTTATTTATTAGTCATGAAAGATTGAAATCCATCTGATTCGAAGTGTTTTGATGCGATATTTTAAATAAAAGAACAATGTTGGATATGATATTTTTTAGAGAGTCCGTCCCAAAATAATAGTTCCGTTTTCAAAAGAAAAACCATATTACCTTAGAATTTTCTTTATTTTTTTTTTGTTATTATTACACAAATGATATTATTTTTTATACAGTGATATTTTAATCTTTTACTATCTATTTTATATCCACTACCATTATTTTTTAAATCTTGTGTCTTAACTCTTTTAATCTTTTACTATCTATTTTATATCCACTACCATTATTTTTTAAATATTGTGTCTAACTCTTACGAGACTATTGTTCTGAAACGAAAAGAGTATGTGTATATTATCAATAATACAGAAACAAAGTTTGAATATAAGTAGTAGAACCTATGGAACATTTTTCCTAGGAGTGCATTGCATAATAGACATTTGATTCTTGTTTTCGATTGATTTCAGCCGGAATGGATGGCCCCTGAATTTCTTCGCGGGGAGCCCTCCAACGAGAAGTCTGATGTGTACAGTTTCGGAGTAATATTATGGGAGCTTGTCACATTGCAACAACCATGGAGTGGACTTAGCCCCGCACAGGTCGACCTCCTAATACTCACTCGGTCACAAACATACATATATATATATGTGCAATTATGTCTTTTTTATTTCATCCCCAAACTGTTGAATAAGTCAGAGCTGACCACAGGTGGTTGGAGCTGTTGCTTTCCAAAACCGGAGGCTGACAATCCCGCCAAACACCTCCCCGATCTTGGTGTCTCTGATGGAGTCATGCTGGGCCGAGTAAGAGATCTTCTCGAACCATACTCAATCATCACAATATGTCATATTGTTAAATAATTACCTAGTCTTTTAACTCAGTTAAACATAATCTTTTAGGTGAGATGATATTTTAAGTAACATAGGAAACACAAACTTAACTTGATCGATGATACACATGCACTTCACTTTAATTTTGATCATACTCAAGAATTCATTCATGTTTTCACCAACATTCTAATCTTTAGATTGAAATTCGATAAACAAGTTACTATGTTTTTGTTTTTGTTTACAGCGAGCCTGCGCATCGCCCGGCGATTAGCAGTATAGTTGATACATTGAAGAAGTTACTGAAATCTCCATTGCAGTTGATACAAATGGGCAGTCCATAAACTAGCCAGACCCCCGACCGGCCCCCATTCCAGGTACTTTGCCGCCGTCTTTTATCGTAATAACATTATACATATATATGGAGGGCGGTTATTTCTTTAACAGGAATGAATTAGCAGCATGTAATACAGCACAGCAAAGTTATTAAGCATTGCTGAAAAAAAAAAAAAAATTATAAAGATAGAGAGAAAGAGAATGAAAGAAACTAAATCTGAAGGAATACAATATACCCTTTTTAATTATGTAATAGAGGATGCTGTTGGATTTATGGAAATGAATCCACTTATTATTATTATTGATTTTTTATTTTTGTAAAAGTTTCCGTTTGATTTAGATAATTGAATAATACACTATATATATATATATATATCTGTCTCAAATTCTTTCATACTTTGAGGGGTTGGACTTGAGGTGTGCGTCAAATTAATAAATAATACCAGTTAAATTTGTTTCATGTTCATATTTATTCATATTTCATAGTATGTAATCGATCCTTGGCATTTCATAATATATATAATGAAATGAGGAATGTGTGATGTCTTTTGCATTAATGGAAAAAATCATCAATACCGAAAGAATAGAAAAACAATAATTAGTCATACTCAGAAGATCAACATAAAAAAATCCTGACAGGCTCAAAATGTTATACAGGCCAATCTGAAACAGTTCCAACCAAACAAGTATAAGCATATACTTATGAAATGTTTGTTCGACAAATATAAGCATATATATTCAAAATGTCTACGTAATATACCGGTAGTTTCAAACTTTGACATGTACATTGAATTTCAACCGACTGTTTGGCTGTTAAGCTGTTAAGATAAACAATATGACTATTTGAGTACTAGTAAAAAACTTCTATTAGAAATTTGGATACTGAAGTTTTTCAATGTACCCAAATTGTTCTTGCATTGTTGTCAAACAACTTAAAACTTTATGCATCTGGATCATAATTTTTATCCCATAAGGGATGACCTGGTAGTATGAGGGTTGGATGTGTGACCGTGAAGTCCCCCTCGACGCCTCATGTCACTTGCCACACATGTGATTTGTCTGTAGGGCCTAGTTTCCAGCTACTGCGGTAGGTTCCCACGACATAAAAAATAAAAAAAATAAAAAAAATAAAATACAGTACAATTTGTTTGTTCTTTTGGCAGTCTAAAAGATGAGGGACTTTTATAACGAGATTCAATACAATTTGTTTGCTCTTTTGCCTGCCTAACACTTTAAAATATGTTTTTATCGTTACTTTTTAATATAAAAATGTTGATACAATAACATTAACAACAAACATTTAAGAAAATAGATGTATAGAAAATTATATACATTGTTATTGAAATAAACATAGTAACCAATAGGGTAAATGAGCAACTAATTACGCACACAAGAATTTCAAATGAACTGAAGAAGAGAACGGCTATACTATCAATAAAAATGAATCTATTGTTCTTTCAAATTTCATTATATTATCTCTATTCACAATTCTCCATAAAAATATATTAATTTTTAACAAAATATTTAAAAACTAACAAAAAAATAAATATTTTAATAATATTTTTACTTTTCACAATAACTATAAATCTATAATAACAAAAGTTCATAAATCATAAATACTTTTAAAAAAACACATTCTTCAAAACAGACATATAACTAAATTAGAGTGGACTTAATATAAAAGAGGCATGGCCACGATTTAGTTAGTACCTTTATAGCCCGCAGCGAGCCATCGGCCGGAGTCACGAGGCGTCAGAGTCCGACGAGTGCGTCTCCGGCTTGAGTGGCCACGACAGGTTGTATATAAGGAGCCCCGCCATGAGGACGGCGCTGCCCAATACAAAGAACCAGCTAAGGCTCACGCCTTCAGGGAGGTACGGCAACGGAAGCGAAAGAATGTAGATTGAGATGGGCACTGCAGTGTAGTTACGACCAAGTTCAGCTGGGTTAATTATTAGGATGAATAATCTACGAGAAAATTTCGAGAGTACTACCTGAGGACATCACGGCAAGGGAAGAAACTATAGCCGACGAAAATCTCAGTAGATTGAGCACCGAGATGTTGAAAGCAATGTTGGTTGCTATGTAAAGCATGGGCAGCCATGGGGCCCCGTCGCAGCCTGCCAAAGTTACGAGAGTCGATTTTTTTTTTTTAACACGAATTGGGAACTCGGTTTTGGAAGTTTAATTTTCGATGAAATGTGAGCATAAGAACCGACTTTTATTACCTGTCGTGGTGGTTCCGACGTTGAAGAAGCAAGCAGCACCGCTTGTCAAATACGATGGTAGTTCAGAAAATGGTATGCCCTTGAGGCTTGACAGAAAAGGCAGAAATAGGAGAACAAAGAGTGCCTGCATGCAAAAGGAAATGAGAGCCATTAAGGTACAGCACATGCATTTTGTTAGAAATTTCAAATTTATCGATTTTTTAATAAATTTATCATGATATCTTACCCTACTTTTTACCTACTTATATTTATATTTCGTAGAATTTTATGATTTGCATATTATTAATAATGAAATCATGGCCTATAAATGGACGCTATATAAATTGAATAGACTCAAATAATAAAAATTTTGTTTAATAAATATAATCAAATAATAACAACCGATAATAGAAATTCAACCTAAAGTATAAACTAAAATATGTTATCACGAAACTAAGCAAGAATGCATAAGTAGAGGAAGTATTTTAATTTTTGTTTTAAGAAAAAACAAAAATTACATCCAACAATTAATAAAACATCGTATTTTACATCTATTTTTTCCTTTAAAATACTCAAAAGAACCATAGTAAGTTGATCGGAATTTACTCAGATCATGTTAAAATTACGAGGAACATAATACATGAATGCATGCATATTCAAAGTTTTTATAGAAGGCTAGTGAGAATATAATTATCCTATCATAGAGATAATGTATTTCTTACCTGAAACCCGGAGCCAAAGGAATTGACAACGAAGATGTCTAGGAGCTTTCCCTGTACCCAAAAATCAAGTCACAATGAAGATATATTCTAACATTTCAAAGCAGATATATTGGACGATAACAAAATGAAATTTCGCACCTTGAGTCGTGTGGCAGCATCGAGGAAAACAGATTCCTGCACGCTCAACAGATATAAAAATAAATTAAATTGCCTATAGATGAGGACTTGCAATTTAGTTGTCTGATAAGGGTTCATGCCTTACCTTGAGAACAGAAGCAGTTGCTTGAAATGCACTTGAAGCTATCATCACTGCTGGCCAAAAGAAGCCGACTCCAGAGAGCATGTGATCATTTTCAGATCCACTGCATTCCACAAGCAAAAAGTATTATCCAAAGTAGATCATTTGCAAATCACATGAAATTCCAAGTTAACCTAAATAGTTGAGAAAGCTCGAACATAAGATTATATAAACTGTGAGGTTTCACTTTAATTAGCTCGTTTATGTTACAAATTAACGAGCGTATATGCAACAGTGGATGACAATAGTAGCATATGCAGAAGTGTAGGTCAAATGAGAAAGTAGCACCTTGTAACAGCTAACACAACACCAGCAGCAACAAGAAAGCATCCAGCAAGTTTATTCAATGAGTAGTTTCTCCCCAGGAAAAGCATAGAAAATGTCAGCTGCCACACCAAGAATGTCTGCAATAAACAGGGTCGAAAAAAACAAATCAATTCCCGAAAACAATAACCTCCTATTGCATTTCGAGTAATACTGGGAATTAATAAATATGTTGTATCGTCTTTAATAAACACAGCATGCCCAAAGGCTAGTGTTTAAAGATGCAAAGAAGAGAAGCAACAAGAATAACAAGGATCACATTGAGGAGATGATTTTATATATCCTGCTGTCAAATGGATGGAAAGAAACAAGATTGGTGTTAGCAATTTCGGAAACCTCATAAAGACAAACAACTCTAGAGGAAGACAGCCATCTCTGAAGGATACAATAGCAAGGTTGAAAACCTCACTGAGGGGTTAGTGGAAATTACATGAACCAAACCCCGACATCTCTTCAAATAAACTGGGAATTTCCAAATATAGTGTAAGCATATGAGTTTCATTAGATGAAGGTTGAGATAATAACAAAAATAATAATGATAATAAAAGTAGATGGGTTTTCCACCCAGTCAACATTAGAGTGCTTTTGGGAAAGGTCAAGATAAGAGTATCATCTGATATACTAAATGGAAGCATATATTTTTTATTTTTTGTGCTACAAAGGCATATCTCAGTCCAAATTATAAAATGCATTACCTGATTTAGTATAGGAATAGCTGGTCCAGGAAGCATAGCTGTAAAATAAGCATACATTCAGTGGAAAGAAGACTAATGGAAGCAACCGAAAAATTCAAATGTTTTTGGCTTTGATTTGTTTTAAATTTAGCATAAAAAACAAGGTGTGGCGCGACATATTACAACCAAAGGCCAGAAATTTCAAGGAGAAATTAACTACTTATGGAAATGACTCTAAACCATAGACATCATTCTTGTATTCTTAAATCCTGATGAAGTAATCATCAATTAAAATAGTTATCATTGAGCCCAGGCGGGTTACTCATACCTCCGGAATACATTCCAGAAACAACTCCAAGAGCTTCTAACAAACCAATTATCATGAAAGGTAGTTTTGGATAAGCAAGCATCTCATCAGTAGCTATGTTAGCTTTGTATCTCATGTAAAGGATGGAAAAATATATTCCCACATACCTGTAGATCACAAATAACAACAATCAATTGGAATGTCAACTAAAATTATGTCAATAAGAAATGCATGGCAAAGTAATTAAAGTAACAACTCAAAACAGTAGGCACAGAGAGAAGATTTACTTTTCAATACAAGGAATTTTCTCCAATAATTTGATTCTCATTCTTTATATTGGAATTGGTGAAACCATTTAGGCAATTTTCATAATCAGCAAGTAGGTGGGTTTGTGTGCTATCGACATGTTTTTGTAGCATTTGAATGATTTAATTTTCATTCAAATTATTTTCTGAAACATATTTTCATGAATAAAGTATCTCTAACACATGTTCTACGTTCTAAACATCACCTAAAATTCAAAATACCTGAAAACATCCAAACCACAAGCAAACACATTATTGAAATAAATGTGGAAGATGTCTTGTAGCAACTATTATGCATTGAAAGATCACAAACACCACTAGCTTTTGATTATGCTACAAGTCGATCTTTGAATGTTCGTTGTGGTTTAATTTAAGAAATCAGTGTACACTGTTACCGCATTTTCCAGCATGAATCATATGAGATGAAATTATATTTCCACGAGCAGAAACAAGTCATGCTAAATCTCGATTAATTTACGAAGACGAGTACGATAATACTTTAACAATCATCTGATTCAGGTGTTGGGAGGAACAAACCACACCCGAACGTGGTGAGCTGCGCCAGGAAAAAGGGGAATTCCTTCATCGGAACAAGAGCTAGCTTGTAGAGCACACGGTTCGCAATCGCTAGCCCCACGGTAACAACGGAGCACGCCACGATGGCGAGCTTCCGGTCATTGGCGTTGGAGCTCGAAGGCGGCGGAGTCGGCGGAGGAGACGCTTCGGCATTCGTCGCGAACGGAGACAAATAATGCTGGAGATTTCGCCTGTTACAATGACCAGCGTTTACAGGGTAAGCAATCTTCAGCTGCTTCAAAATTGGACGCTTGTGAGGCTTCCGCAACTTGGCACCGAAACTGGACGGAACTCGGAAAACAATCAGCGTCTCCGATGGTCTCTCGGCGGAGGAAGGAGAAGCAGGTGATCGGAGAACCTCCATGGAAGTAGACGAAGAAAAAAAGCTCTGCCTGCCTGCAACTACCTACACAGATTTTGACCATTAAGTCTGCCACGTGTGATCTATTTAACACGTGTGATCTATTTAACACGTGTAACGTGTAAAATCTAATGGTCCCAATTGGGTCGAATAAATGAAAGTGGGCCCCGGTGTAGGGCCCAATTAATTTAGGTCCGTTTATTAATTTTAACTGTTTGGGTCCATATTTAATGGGCTTTTATTTATTCACGAAGTACAGAATTTCTTTCAATATCTTTAATCTATAATATTTTTATAAAAAATATATCGAGTACACACATTAATGCACTATATTATATAATATATATTTTATTTATTAAAAAAATATAATAATTAAATAAAAATATTTATATTTTAGTGTGTTTGTTTTGTAAAAATGTTGAAAAAAATAAAATTTATGTGAATTATTAGAAAAATCTATAGAGATATAAAAATAATAAATATGTGTAGTATATTAATATTTTTGAAAAAAAATCACGAAAAAACAAAGTATTTGCACAATTCTTAGCATTTAAGTATAAAAAAAATACTACAATCCAAAATTACTAAAGTTTGTTCACCAAATACTTATATTTTAATGATACAATTTTCATAAATATTTTTTTAAAAAAATATAATATATACATATTAATACAATATATTTGTTCCATTCCATCACAATGTACTAATTTTAGGGAGTCAATGGATCGGATCAGCTAAGATTCGAAACTCGACGCGAATACATATGGTTGGATCCGATTCGAATAATACCGACAAGATCAATGGACCAGTAAAATATTTTTTCAACTTTGAAAAATTATTTTAAAATTGGATTCGAATTTGGACTCAAACCAGACATATATTAAATTTTATGTATTTTATTCAAAAATATATATATTTAAAAATAGTTTTTTCTTTTATTATTATAATTATAACGGGATACTTTTAAATGAAATAAAAAATAAAAAAAAAAAAAAAACAGATTGAGTTGAATTAATTAATTTACTTATTGGTTGCTGCTAGAGTGCTGTATTTAAAATTCTGTTGTAATAATCGTATGTCACATCTCTTATATTAATATAATACAAATACAATACATAAATTAATATTATGTAATAACAAAACACACTGTATTACTTCTGACAACACACCATTTATATTAATATAATACAAATACAACACATAATAAAATTTTATTTTAGTATATGACATATTCTTAGATACATATAATTATGAACAAATACATCTCTATTACACACAACATATGTTATGTATAATAAGAACATGTACTATTTTGCATTTATTATAGGTGGGCACACAACAATCCCCTTACTTAAATATACTATTCTCTCCGTCCCGTTGAAAGGTTGACGTTTGCTTTTTACACATAGATGTTTGAATATTAGTATTATATTAGATTGTAGTAAAAAAAAAGACAAAAATACCTCTATTAATACGGTGTAATATAAAAGTAATGACATTTGTGTAATATATTGTAAGTTGAAAAGATATTTATTATGTTAAGTAGGTATTACAATTACTAAATTAAGAAATGGTAACCGGACGAAAATAGAAAATTGTAATCTTTCAATGGGATGGGATGAAGGGAGTATTAAGTAAATAATTAAAGCCAAAATGAGATGGGTAAATTATATTGGTATATATATTAGTTGGGGATTAAACAAATATAATATGGTTAATTATGGTTCTTGATTACCTTACTTGACTCCATGGACTTCTGCTGTCCTTGCTGTCCACCACTACTACAAACATATACATACATATATACATATATATTATTACAAAAATTCCAAGAACAAGCCAAGGAATCGAACATGGCAGCCACATTATCTAGATTGGGGTGTAATAATTTCCCACTAATTTAATTTAATGCGAAACTCACTGTTCATCTTATTATTTCAATGCTCCTTCAATAAAAAGTTTGTTAAAGAAAAGCATCTTTATATGCTTCTTTTTAGTTTGTTGCTTCTCCATCATTTCCTCTGAGAGCTGACAGTCCCACCCCACCCCACCCCCTCAATTCCTTTATTTGATTCTAGTTTACTCCAATCCAGTACGCAGAATTTCGTTTTGACTCCTCATTTCTGTTCTTCCTCGGAGGCAGTACAGACGCCTCTCAATGTTCGAATCGGATTCTGATTCTGCAGTGGAAAGCCAGCTCTTCGTAATTTTTGTTTAATCATGGCGGAGAGTAATGGAGCTGGAGCAATGCATCATCAGGTTGTTCGAGAAGATGAGAGTAATAGTGGTAGTACCGTTCATGGCAACTGTGATCAGGTATGTCGGTTTGGTTCCTCTCTGTGCCCTAATTTTTGGGGGAATTTTGAGGAAAATTAGGTTAAATTTTGTTTGTTGATTGTTGATGTGTATGGTTGAATTGATTTAGGGAGTATGATGATGATGATGATTGTATAGGAAGAACTGTTTTTAGATTCATTTTTATGAGTTTTGTACTTCGGTTGAGTTTATGATTGCGCAGTTATTCTGTCCTTCCGCCATTGTTAGGGTTTAGGGTTTCAAAATTGGGATAAAACATGTAGATGAAGATGAAGAGGTAGTAAGAGTTGCTTAGTTCATTCATATTCATTAGGTTTGAGAATTGTCTTTGTTCCTTTCCTTACCACACCTTATTTTCAGTGATTCTTGTCGTTTTTCGACATCGAAAAGCTGAATGAATAGCTATGTTGGATGGTGTGGAAGATGTCAAATTGAAATTCATAGATGGATAGTAATGTAGGTCGAATCAAATCGAAAAATGATCGGGGAAGCACAGATTCACACCTTATTTGAAGTGTTTCTTGTCAGTTTTAGACATCGAAAAGGCGAATGAATAGCTAATTTGGATCATGTGGAAGATTTCGAATTGAAATTCCACAAGAATGGATAGCAATGTAGGTCGAATCGAATCTAAATATGACCAGGGAAGACAGATTCGCACCTTATTTCAAGTGTTTTTTTTTGACATTTTTAGACATCGAAAAGGTAAATGAATAGCTAATTTGGATCATGTCGAAGATTTCGAATTGAAATTCAAATAGAATGGATCGTAATGTAGGTCGAATCGAATGGAATAATGATCAGGGAAGCACAGCTTCACACTTTATGTATATAAACATCATTTTTGGTAATTTCTACATTTGTTGAGAATCAGAGGCTTTTGTTTAATCCAAGTTTCGGTGCGATTTGATTATGTGTGTATGCTCTGTGAATTCTGTTCTACCAAAACTTTTACGGCTGTTAAAAATTTCGAAATTTTTTACTTCTTGTGCATGTTTGGTATCAGGTTTTTGATCGACAAGAAGCCCCCTTGATGCAGCCCAAACGGCCAAACCTCCCGTCATTAGAAATACCGTTGCGGTCGTTGGAGAATACGCTGTCTGATTTCACAAGAATAGATATCCCAAGTCCCGGTTCCGCCAGATCCGGGCTTCCGCCACGACCGAATTCCGCAAAGCTGAAATCATCCGTCAAGAACTTGTTGCCGCAAAAGAGCTTGAGGAGTAAAAACCAATCTCAGGAAGCCGAGAAAACGGTTCTTATCATCCCGGACGTGCCCCTTTCGGACAAGCCGTCGACGTCGAGATCTTTCTCGTTGAACAAAATGTTGTTCTCATCATCGACGAAATCGACGCATTCGTTACCCGTGACGCCTATGGGCAATGCTGATCCGAAGCCTGCTCAGGAGCACCGTTCGGATTTCCCATCAAATATTCCGGTAAGTTTTTCTCTCGAGTACCCGAAACCACCGAGACGACGCTCTTACGCTATCCTGAAACTTTCCTTTGCAGAAGACTGATGTGAAAAAGTTCATGGCGCGATCGTTATCAGTTCCCGTTAACGTCAAAACCCGAAGCTTGAGACGGATGGACTCGTCGGGAGGTTTGATACGAGTGATATCGACAAGCTATCGGTCAACAATTGCCGAAAATTCCCCCTCGGACATATCTCCCGCTACCGAAGCTGGTATAAAATGTATACATTTTCGTTCATTCCGATTCGTCGTCGTAAATTGACGCAAACTCTACGTGTCGATGCAGGCATGGACGATTCCGAGGAAGAAGACATTCCCGAAGAAGAAGCCGTATGTCGAATCTGTTTAGTCGAGCTCGGAGAAGGCGGCGAAACGTTAAAAATGGAGTGCAGCTGCAAAGGAGAGCTCGCCCTCGCCCACAAGGAGTGCGCCGTAAAGTGGTTCAGCATCAAAGGTAATAAAACGTGCGACGTTTGCAAACAGGATGTCCGGAACCTTCCGGTAACATTATTGAGGATACAAAACACGCCTAACGTAACGCGAAGATCAACGACCGGGCAACAGCAACGAGAAGTGACTCGTTACCGGTGAGTAATCTGTGCGTTCGATTACTTTCTTCGATTTTCTGAAACCCGAAAACGATCGTGTTTGCTCGTAATTTTCTGGCAGTGTATGGCAGGACGTCCCGGTTCTTGTCATGGTCAGCATGCTCGCCTACTTCTGCTTTCTCGAGCAGCTTTTGGTATCCGACATGGGACCTCGGGCGCTCGCCATCTCGTTGCCGTTTTCTTGCGGGTTAGGTCTCCTCTCGGCGATGATTGCGTCTACAATGGGTAAGTCGATTATTTTTATTTTTTTAGTCCCGTAACTGAAGCATGCTACAAATTAGTCCCGTAAGTGAAATATTTTTGCAATTTTAGTTCTCAAGTGCAAAAAATATCTGCGTGGTACCCACATGTGTCCGCTAGATCAGACACATTGCAGACACATAGATTTTTAAATTTTTTTTTTTTAAAAAATTAATTTTTACAAAATAAATAAATTAAGTCTATTTTAAAAATCCATGCGACACCGAGCGGACACGTGTCCTCCGGCGAGCCACACGGGTGCCACGTAGGCATCTCCGGCGGCGCCAAAAGACTAAAAGTGCGAAAATTTTTAATTTGTTGGAATAGTTTGCAACAGTATCCAATTATAGGACTGAAAAATTAGTTTACCCCTTTTTTTGGCTCTCTCGATTTTAGAAGAACTAAGAGTGAATCCGACGTGTAATGGTTGGTTTGATGGTTGGTTTGCAGTGAGCAAGAGTTACATATGGGCTTATGCGTCGTTCCAATTTGCGATCGTGATTTTGTTCGCCCACATATTTTATACCGTCGTAAGAACTCTCTGAACTCATTCCATTTTCAGTATGAGTTCGGCCAAAAACGGATATTAGTGCTTTGACGTTGTCGTTGTTCTCTCGCAGCTAAACGTAAATGCGGTTCTCTCCGTGCTCCTATCGTCGTTCACGGGATTTGGGATTGCGATCAGCACCAACTCGCTTCTCGTGGAGTATCTGAGATGGAGGTCGAGCCGTCATTCTCAGCACCAAATAAACAGTGCGGCGGCTTTGCCATCACCGCACCACCACCACCACCACCAGCGGCACCACCCACACAGTAATAATCAAGCTGCCGCGACGGCGGCGGGATCCGCCGAAGACGCGGGACGTCGAGAGCAGCAGGTGCAGAACACGTAGAAGGGAGAGCGTTGAATGATGATCGATTACACGAAAATGTTAAGCTGAATGTTTTGGTTTAAGGAAGCTGAGATGCTATAGGATGTTATGTAGATTTGGGTTTGAAAATATCAGAGCCACTTTTGTGCGATATTTTAGCATGCATGTAGCAACGTTTGTCTATTTCGTTACTACAATCCCACACGCTTTCTATAAAAAAAAAATAGGCCCGTAAGGGATGATTTGACTGTTTAGCATTGCATTGAATTTGTGTTCGTGAAAGTATTAGGTTTGACCGAGGATGTAATCCGTGCACACTTTCAACAACGGAATGGAATAGTTTTTATTCTCAAGTCGTATTTAGAAACAATATAAATTTGTATTTTGTTCTTTTTTTTTTCTTTTTTTCCATTTGACAAGTATATATTTTGTTGTTTTTTTTTTTATTGTTAAAACAAAAAATATCTATTTTTTTTTAAAAATATGTATGGACCCTTATTACGCACATCATCTACAGTTTTCAATAGAAATATACTATTTTTTTTTTTAACAAAATATTACATCAAAATACAATTAAAAAGAAAAAGAAAAAGACTCAAGTCAGTCATTTCAAATCGATTTGAAACTATAACCAAATAAACTCGTCCACATCAAAATACTAGTTAAACTAATATTCAAACCAAAAACTCATTCAAATCAAAACTAATAATTCAACCGAGTGTGATCATCCAACAAAAAGAACATACATATTTTGTGGTTGATATTACTATAGAAATATAATATACACATACTTACATAATATAAAATATATATATATATATATTTGACTTATTCGAAAAAACTCAATCATTCAATAAAAAAGCAACATTTCTTGTATTACCAACATATTTTTCATATTTAACAAGAAAAAAAATAAAATAAAATAAAACTTAAAACACAAATCAACCGCATTCAATATATAATATTCAATACAGTTCAACATTACCTTAATATTTCATATGGTTCAATATATTTAGTGCATAATTAGGTACACTTTCCTCTAAAACTTTGGATACTGTAGTTCTATAACAAATTCTTTTCAGGCATTAATAATATCAACAAATACCAAATCCATTTCTTCATCAATATATATTCTCATAAAACATATCTGCAGTCAACATTAAATTGTGGAGGGTAAGATTCCAAAATATGAAACTTACCATGATGCAAGAATCTTAACAACTGAGGATGCCATTTCATCTAACAGCTAGTGAAGTCCCCTGTGAGTTTTTGCTCATTTCTCGAGAATCGTATCATTTCTGCACTGTCGAATTCCTTGTTATGAGTACAGCACATTTGCGCCCGGAATCACCGAACAATGCTTCTGGTGTTTGGTTTTGTTAGCGCTTCAATGAGCCTGTGCATCCATCTATCAAGCATTCCTGTCGCAAAAAAATATATATATATATGTATATACATACACATTCATCGCGAAAAAGCTTCACAAGTAACAGATTTTAAAAGGGGTTTCTATATTTTGTCCTTAAAATAAGGAACATTGAAAAAAGGGCTCAACAAATTGAAACATTTTCCATTATCCCGTAATAAAGATGGGACATAAGTACATCTGATCTATACAGTTATAACAGCAAGATGTGTTGAACAAATTCACTTTGCAAAATGCAGGTGGCTGTAATGAAACCATTAGTTGAGAGAATCGGGGGTGCTAATAAAAGGAGGATTTATTTAAATCATGTAACGATAGAAGAAACTTGAAAAGTTCTTGCAATTAGTAGTTCTATAAATTATCTTAAACAAGATAAATATTCATTCGAAACTGGCAAAGTGACACTTTTGATCAAGATTATATAGAAAACATATAGATGATGAAAACTAATTTAAGGATACTTGCCTGTTTCAATATTCTACTTGACATCACATACTAATAACGCAAATAACAAATGCAGAGCACATCTCTATTCTATGCATATATATATATAGTATAATTATATAAAAGGCAGTCATATTTCAAGCATGGACTGCCTGCTGCAGACAACAATCTTGGCCAATACAAAGTAGAGTACTAAAGAGAGATTTTGTTGATTAAAGAAGTCACAGATGCCAGCAATAAAAGGAGTTAATATACCTGTAACAGCAAATGTACCACCCAATACTGCACAAAGGCGGGTCATAAAGTGGAGAAAGCTGCGGCGTTCTTCCCTAATGGTCACAGTAATTGGTGATAAATCATATAAAAAGTACACAGCTGCAAAAATAAATAAAAAACAAAGTTAAAAATCTATCTCAGTACAGAATGGGAGAAAACATGAAAAAGTCTGGATCAAAAAAGACTTGCCTGGCCATGCCCTATCAAACTCATTAATTGGAGAAAAGTACTCATTGACAGAAAACTGATTTGTAGGTAAAACATTCTTTGAGATATACTTGTATTGCGTTGGAACGATCTACACCATAAGAAACACAATATTTTAAGGAAACGAATTGATGAAAAATTCTCAAGAGATAACACAAGAAACTTTTAATAGAAATGCCATTCATTGCACAGATAATGTAACCTGAGACTGGCTATGTTTGAAACGGAGACACAAGTTATAGAATTTAAGTAAGCTAAAGGAATTACAGGGTTAATTCATGTTGGGTAATAGATCATTCTATGTCCAGGAACAGGATATTATACCTGAGGTCAATTTAAAGGATTCTGCAATGTCTTAACTAATCCAAAGAAAAGAAGCCTTTGCACATATAATATGAGGGTAACATCAGACAATATTTCATATTTTCATCAGAAACAGGCAAGAACTGAAACCTTTATGTAGTACTTGAATGTTCCACTTGCTTCATGTAAAATCCGGACCGTATCATCTAGTGGGTTATGTTGCCCAGGATATTTAGGTCCAAATGATAAATCATGAATGACATGACTCACATTAACACGAGAAGAAGTCTCAAACATCTGCATGAGAAAATTTTGCTTTAATATGTACTTGATATAGAGTCAAGACATAGATGTATGTTCATATGGAATTCTACAGAATATATAAGTTGTGGGAATGGCATAGCTACCATCTGTGCCACAAAAATGTTTAATCCATGAACTGAGATGTGGAAGTTTCCAGCAACTCTCTGCACATCTAAAACACCATACACCTGCAACAGTGACAGTTAAAATATCATGAAATTTGGCCATGGTAGCATTATTATCATACTCATTTTTTAATTAATACTGAAGCAGCAAATTATCATCATCAATTTACACAAAGATGTATGTCAGTCTCACTATAAACAAATTATGAAAAAGAAGGTAGAGGTTAAAAGTGGCAGAGGCATACCCGGCAACCTTCACCAGTAGCTAATGCATGCTTCACCTTTTTTATCATATCTTCAGCTTCTTGATCAAGATTGTGGAGTTTAATTTTATGGTCAGAGTCCTCCTGATGGTCTTTCTGGTCATCTGATAGCCAAAATGTTGTCAAAAACAGGCCTAATTTGCTTCCTAATTGGTTTACAAGTTTAATTGGTCTAAATTGTGTGCTGCTTGTCTATACAAATCGCCTGAATATTTAAAAACCAGCTCCTGATGCAAATTGAATCCTAACTTTGACATTGTGACCAAACTAGATTACCAAAGGTCGAAGGGTAGAAAGGAATCTCAAATAATCATAACAAAAATAAATAAATAGATTTCTCAATTAAAATTTAAGATATGCATGTGGCTTCAATAATGTTTTGTTGCATTTCAGGAAGCTCTTGTATGCAAATTCAACAGTGGAGTTTTGATGCATTAGCACAAGAATATTTTGATGCAACTCATTGTTCAAACATACCAAAATTATGACTTGAGAAAATGTGGGCATGCCGTGGAAATGAAATCCATAAAGATGTCAACATAGTTTTGAATATTGAAATCATACAAAGGAACAATTACTCACTGAATAATAATTATCGAAGTTCCAATTTCACATCATCCTAATATAAGAATATGACTATACTCTACAACAACAATCTTTTAAGTAACATATCAGCACTCTGAAGCTAAATTACTGTTTCCTTTCATCCTTCAACAATATGATGCCCATTTAAGTTGTTACTTTAAGTTTTTTAATGTATTTCTCACATTTAATCATTAATTTTCAAATAAAAACAATGAATTCTTGAAAATCTTATGTATATAACATTACTCATTAGCCAAGTGTCCATACTCAGACTTATAAAGAAATGGTCTAACAATTTAATCAATGCCACTTTGATTGCAATACAACGATAGCATACACACAAGAAAATAAATGAATGAAATTTGGACAAAAATATAAAAATATGATTGCAAAGTAACACAAATGTCAATATCAAGAATAACACAAATATATACACTAACTGTAGCTAAAGTCACTAAAAAGGGAAATTATCCAAAAACATGCTACAAGAGAAGGCAAAAGTGAAAAATAAGGAGATAAACTAATACTAGATAAAAAGAAAATACAATGTTAAAAAACCTAACCATGACTATGAGCCGTGTGTTCCTTCTCCACAAGGTCAGACAAATACTCAGTACCAATGATGTGGCCGTCACTACTTAAACAAAGCTGCACAATTGTAGCAAACATGTTGGCTATCACATGAGCTCAAGCAAAGCCTGACACACACATAGCTTCAATTAATTATATATCTTCTATATCTCTCTAAATATTTATATGTATCTGTATATGCGATTGAAATTTGCAGCTAATTAATATATATATATATATATATATATATATAAGAAAAGGTGAAGAGTAATTAAACCCAACCTACCTTCCATATGTTTGTGTCAAGATCAACTTCATGCTTGCCTGACATATCAATTGCATCTACACTTAGAACTGCAAGACCACGACACAGAACCACATCAACGCAGATTAAAAACGGATAATACAGAAGCAGAAGATAGTTCAGCAAGATAAGCTAATAGAAAGAAGAAGAAAAGAAGAAAAGCTACAATAGCTAACCATCACACGGTAAAGAAGGAAATGTCATGTTTATATGGATCGGAAGTGTTTCTCCACGTGTTAAATCAACTGACATCTACAAAGGGAGAAAATGTCAAGCATTTCGAAGGTAAAACTTTCTTTTGGGGCAAAAGAAAAAATCACAAGAAGAGAAATATAACCTGGTGCACAGTATATGTTGTGAGATAATATGTCAACTCATGCACAAACAAAGTTGCCATGATTGCCAGTCCAATAATAGAAACTAATAAGACACATGAAGCAAAAAAAAATAAATTAGTAGTCTATCAAACATTCTCTTGTTGAGAAATTACATTTGGTACTATCTTTCCATACAGTGAACTTTTCTTCATTAGATAGTAAACAAGGTGAAATGATCACCAATTATTAAGTTGTCCATTTATTTTATTTTATTATATTTACAAGGGGTGTGTTTTTAAAAGTTCAGGCGCCAACACAAATGAATCATAAGTATCAAAATACCACCAAACGAAAACAAGGGGAAAAGGACTAGGTGTGATGATAAGATCTATGATAATCAGCATGATATCAACATCTCAGAGGACCCAAACAAACTCTAAAGAATAAATAAGAATGGTTACAAGAAAACATAAATTACTTAAGTCAGGGAGCCCTGAGCATGAATTGAGCTCCAAAATCCATTAAATGGCTACAAAAATGGCTTATTGCTCCAGCCAATACATGTCTTTGTCATTCCCACCATTACACAACCGAATATTGAAACAACTTATCAACAGTAAACACATTTCATATTTATCTTCCTTCTTCCTTTTTATTGCCACTTCAACTCATTGTAAAGCTCTTATTATGGCAGCACACACAACTCAGAATTCGGTAAGGAAAATGTGCCTTTCTTGATACTTCATGTCATATTAAGAGGTGTAGAATTTAGGGAGTATGGTTATTCTCAACAATTTCCAATACCTTTAAACAATAGTCTAGTCCATTTTATGATCGACTCTATGTCAGGATATATTACATTCTAAATTCCCATATTACATTCTAAATTCCTTAGCGCACCCCCTCACGTGGAGGATCGCAAAATCTTAGCACCACAACCTCTTATTCATCAATGGATGACCATGAGGATTCAAACACAGCATTCTATCACAATATTATTCAATATCGATACATCAAGACGTTAAACAAACAGCTAAGAATCATATGATAGCAATCTAAATTCCAAATCTCAATTTACGGAGAAGAGTAGGAGATATAACATACCGAGAGCCCCCGATTTTGTCTTCCGCAGCAAATGCTCTTCTGCGCGAGGAAACGCATCGAGACTTTTCAGTGCTTGCTTCAAATTCCCCATTTTCTGTATTCGTTTCCTACTTAGTTTTCTAGCCCTAATTTCCGCCCAGATCAACCAAACAAGGAAGCAATGTACCTACCACTGTCAAACAAAAAATTGTCAACAAAAAAAAAAAAACCATATAACAGTGAAGCATTGAACAGAATGTCATTCAATAATCAAGAACTACAAACCTGGGAAAAACCAAAATCGACATTCATGCAAGCTCTCGACAAATCTCCGCCTGCGGACTGACGAGACAAACGCAAAAATGTTCCTCGCCTAATTAGACGATTATACGCAATACAATAAATTTTAAAAAATCAATTTTAGTCCGGATATTAAAAAAGTATACATATATATATTAATTTTGATTATAATATAAAAAAAAATATTATAAATAATTTAAAATAATTTTCCGAACATTTGTTTTTTAATTACGTAGAAATTAGCAGCCACTTTCCCAAAAAGGACGTATTAAGTAAATCAACAATTACCTTAATACTCTGCAAATCATGTTTGAAAATTCTCACGTTATTAAAAAAAAAAAAAAAATCATAACTTCACAATCATAATTAGGGTATGTTTCTTTTAGCAATATTTTTTCAAATTTTACTTTCACTCTCCGTTTTCTTAAAAAATATATATATTTTTTTTAAAAAAAAATATCTTATCAAATATTATTTTCATATTAAATTCAAATTAAATATTTTCCACGCAACTTTAATTTTGATTACTGGAGTTTTAGGGTGTGTTTGTTTGAAAGTTGGATTTTGAATAGTAAAAATTTTGAATTTGAATATTTATATGATGTGATATAAATAAATATTGATTTGATGTTTTGAATGTAAAATTGATTTTTAGTATAATATAAAAAATAAAAAATAGATATTTGATTTGATATTTTTGGGAGAAAAAAAATTGGATTAACAGTGTAAATTCAATCCAATCTCCCAAACAAACATACCCTTAATTTTTTTTTGAATATGATCATTTAAATAATATTTTTAAATAAAAAAATAATAATAATTGAAAAAAATTATAAAAGTAAAAGTTAATACTCCCTCCTTTTCATATTTTTATATTTATTTCTTTTAGTATTATATTAAGATAAATAAAAATAGAAGTAAAAAAACGTTTAAAGTAGTATAAATTTAAAAACCTCCGCCGGTGACGGTCGCCGGCGATTGGCTCTGTCTGTATGTAAAAAGAATAATAGTGATGGTACGGTATACACACCATCAAGAAAGAAAGAAAGAAAGAACGAAAGAAAAAGGACTGATCAAATTTGTCAAAAAGTTGTATTGCAATAAACAGTGCGAATTTCACTTCAGCTTTAGTCCCTTTCTACTTTACCAAACCTAATCCTCCCTGCTTTCTGCGAATTCCCCCAATTTTTTGGGTTATTTTAATGTTTTTGTGCGATTCGGTGCACTTGTTGAAGTTTTCGTCCCCGATTTGGCACTGGTCGTGCTTCCCATAATCCGAAGAATTCTTTAGTTGTTGAACACCTCTTAAATGTCTAATTGGTGTCGGGAAGTTGAGTAAGATCAGCAAACTCTAGGGTGTGCTCGAGAGCATGCTACCGTCGATTTGATTCGTTAAGTGCGGAGGGCAAAAAATGGTGGTGCGGAAGGTGGGGAAGTATGAGGTGGGGAGGACGATAGGGGAAGGAACATTTGCGAAAGTAAAGTTTGCTCAGAACACGGAGACTGGAGAGAGTGTCGCCATGAAAGTCCTCGACCGGTCCACCATTATCAAGCACAAGATGGTCGATCAGGTGCGATTGCTATCTGATTTGAAATTTTTGTGAAAATTAGTAACTAGATTCTGGAAATCACCCAAGATTTTGTGCTTCTACTACAGTAAGTTGATTTTGAGATTGGTAGGATCTATAGTTGAGATGAATTGTGTAATTTCTGTGCTGGAAGAAAGGTGGAATATGCAAAAATTTCTGATAGAGTTCTTATGGCGGTTCATAATTCAATGGATTCAATGTTCTTCCATTTTTTCTTGCAGATAAAGATGGAGATATCTATAATGAAGCGTGTTCGACATCCGTATGTTGTTCGTTTACACGAGGTGAGGATGAAAAACTTGACTGATATTAATGTGCTCTGTAAAAATGCAAAAGCAAGAGCAAAGACTCTTTGTTAATGGTGTTTATCCTGTACTGTTTAATTCATATTCGTCATGCTCGAATTTCCAAATCAGGTTATAGCAAGCCGAACGAAAATCTACATCATATTGGAATTCATCACAGGTGGCGAATTGTTCGATAAAATAGTGAGTTTCCTGAAACATTATTCAGGAATATTCTGAAGGCTACAATAGTTAGCTTTGTGAAACACATGAATTACACTTGCAGGTTCACCATGGCCGACTTAGCGAATCCGAATCAAGAAGATACTTCCAGCAGCTCATAGATGGTGTGGACTATTGCCACAGTAAGGGAGTATATCACAGGGATTTAAAGGTGTTTTCTTTTGGCAAAGAAGAAGAAAATCTTTTTTAACTCTTTTCCAAACAATGATATTTACTTTCTTTTACTTCTTGCAGCCTGAAAATCTCTTACTTGATTCTCAAGGGAATCTAAAAATCTCCGACTTTGGGCTCAGTGCATTCCCTCCTGAAGTAAGACCTGATTATACTTCTCCATAATCAAATTTGTAACATGATGATGCTAATGACGATTAATGTGCATAGGGAGTTAGCCTTCTCAAAACAACTTGTGGAACTCCTAATTATGTCGCACCGGAGGTAACTGTTACAGATCTTTCTCACTGATTTTCATCTCGAAGAATCAAATGAACTTATATTTCTGAAATTGTAGGTTCTTAGCCATAAAGGCTACCATGGTGCTTTGGCGGATATCTGGTCATGTGGGGTCATCCTTTATGTGCTGATGGCTGGTTACTTGCCATTCGATGAGATTGATCTGACGACCTTGTACGGAAAGGTATCCAACCGTAATATATGGTTTTTGTTAATTTTTTAATGGGTAGCATGCATAACTATTGCGGAATTGCAATGTTATATCAAATTGTATGATAGAAGTATAGGTGTAATCTTGTGACTTATTTAAACATCTTCTACAGATTGAGAATGCTGATTTTTCTTGCCCATCTTGGTTCCCTGTTGGGGCGAAATCCTTGATCCGAAGAATTTTGGACCCTAACCCTGAAACAGTAAGTACCTGTTCTTGGAGAGGATAATGATGCTCCATAGTTTAGCGGGTTTTATGTGCCAGTTATATACAGTGATCTCATTGTCATTCTCAGATTACCTGTAGTTACTGTATGCACATAATCCGAATGCAATTCTGCTATGTTAAGACTGTTTGTTTAATTATTAGCATATTACTATTATTTTATTTTATAATTTTTTATACAACTTGATGTTTAAAGATAATTTAGGAGTTATTTTGAAGAGATTGTCAATAAAGTTTCACATTTTGTTTAGGAACTCGGCCATCTTGGCAGAATTTTGAAACTGAACAAAGCTTTTGGGCCTGTTTAATGTTCTCATGTTCACCATGGAAGCCTAAGTGCTTTTACATCATAGTACTTTTTAATTGCTAAATTGTGACCTGCTGTGGGAACATTTGCAGCGGATTCGGATAGAAGATATCAGAAATGATGAGTGGTTTAAAAAGAACTATAATCCTGTAAAGCTTGCCGAAACTGAAGACATCGATTTGGATGATGTAAATGCTGCTTTTGATGATCCAGAGGTCAGTGGGACATTTATGCTTTCTTGGAATTTTGGACTTGTTTGACGAATGCACCGTGTAAAACACATTGCAGCTGTTTGTCCGATGCTTTCTTACTTTATTATTAAACTTTTTCCCGAAATTTCAGTTTTTATCTCTAGAGCTTCTGTGCAATATTATATGTAGGAAGACTTACCTAGCGAACAACGTGGGAATGATGATATGAGGCCTCTGGTTCTCAATGCGTTCGATTTGATTATTCTCTCTCAAGGCCTCAACCTTTCCTCATTGTTTGATCGCAAAAAGGTAATCGTGTTTTTGTATGTAGTATAGTCGAGTCAATGCATAATCTGTTGATATGGAGCTTGTCCCCGGTGCCAATTTTTTTCCGTGAAAATTTCTGCAATTTCACCTCAAGCTGCAAACAGGTTGTTCGACATTAAACGAGGTTCTAATTTCCTTGCATTACAGGACTCCCAGACACATCAGACAAGATTTGTTTCTCAAAAGCCGGCGAAAGTGGTTCTCTCGAGCATGGAAGTTGTTGCTCAATCAATGGGTTTCAAAACACACATCCGTAACTACAAGGTAAAGCTTTTGTTAAAACCAAAAACTTTAATCCACTTGATGCTTTGGAATAACCAATCAAATGCTGCATCATATGATATTCGAATTACTGTTTTCAGATGAGAGTCGAAGGTCTTTCTGCAAACAGAACTTCACATTTCTCTGTAATTATGGAGGTAGTAAATTTATCTCTGGCGCCGTATCTTCCTTTACACTTTTCTTCATCATCTCGGGAAATAATCCTACCTGCCCGAACAGATATTTCAAGTTGCACCCACATTTATCATGGTTGACATTCAAAAAGCTGCCGGCGAAACTGAGGAATATCTTAAGGTACCGTTTAATCTTTGTTGGTTAACTTCATAATTTATAATATGGTATCAGAGTCTAATGAAGCATGCCAGTTGATTTTATAATGTATAAAAAAAAAAAAATAATGCGTATGTCAACCTCCCCTGGAAGTATGTCAAATTCTTTGCTTCAGTTAAATATGAAAAGATCAATGAATCAACGAGCCATTTTATCTTAGGGTGTTTGTTTGCTGGATTTTGTAGGATTTCTATTGTTCACTAAACTTTTTCCCTAAAAACATCAAATCAAATATCTATTTTGTTTATATTATACTAAAAATTAATTTTACATTCAAAACATCATATCAATACCTTAATATACAACCTTCCAATTCAAAATGTTTATTATTCAGATCTCAACTCAAAATCTAAACTTCCAAACTAACACATCCTTAATTTCTTGCAGTTCTACAAGAACTTCTGCGAAAAACTCGATGATATCATCTGGAAGCCACCTGATGAAGCGTGCAAATCACGTGCCACCAAGACAAAGACGAGAAGGAGATGAATCCGTGGTACGCATGTCTGATTGTTGCTTTAGTTTTCTGTAAAATAGAATCCTTATTATTACCTTGGTGACTACCGTCTTGCATTTGATTGATTCGGCGGTTCTCTTGATGCTGAGGGATGAGGATTAGTTAATAGTATTTACTGAAAATCCACACGTTTCTTCTACCCGTAGTTTCACTCGCTCTTTGACAAAATTGAGTTGTTTTCAATGGTAGTTTTATTCGCTCTCTTCGACAAAATCGAGTTGTTTTCGAGCGTAGCGCCATTGGTGTGGTGTCTTTGTATGAATGATTTTGTTGAGTTGAGGGTTCTTGTTGTATTTGTTGGCGTTGTGATTTCCATCTCTATGCTAATGTTTGATGTTGCTCATTAATTTTCTTTCTTAGTAAATACATATCTTTGGAATGTTCTCTTTTGAGATTTTTCTTTCAATTTCTTTACTGGGTAATTCTTTCTTTTTCTTTTCCTTTTTTTTCTTTTTATTTTTTTCTATAAAAATATATTATTAAATCTCATAAAAATTGTGGTAAATTATTATTTTGCCATCATTTAATTACTAAATATATAATTATAAATGGAGTCAGCAGCTCAATAATGATACACATTATTGTAGACATTCATTGCCATTATTCTCTCATCCATTCATTATTTAGTGCCTTGATTATATTTTGGTTTAAATGGTTATTTAAAATTATATTTTTCAAAAAATATATATATTTTATACAGAATTGTTGAAAAAGAATCTTATTTTATTTTCATTTCATAAATTTTGTAAATCTTATTATAGTTTCGGAATTTTCTAATTTATAATGTAAAAATTATTTAATCATTGAACAAATCCAAATATAAGTAAGCCTCATACCCTTATAAATGCTTACAACCACCCCTCAACTCCTCTTTCAAAAAATAAATAAGTATATTTTTATTTAATTAAGTTTACATATAAATAATTTTATATTAAATATTTAGTTATTGAAAATATCATCTAATTAATAGTAGAATATTGTCACATATAAATCACCTACATGTTAATTTCTAATATCAAATATTAATAAAATGAATTTAAATTTTAAAATAAATATTAAATTCTATATTAAGTCCAAGTTGTAGCTAAATATTAACATGTGACTTGGTTAGTTTATTTTAGCACCAATCGTCTCATGTATAAAAAAAATTCAATTACAAATGATTTTTTTAATGATACTAATGTACTATTTAAATAAAAATTTAAATTAATATTTTATTTTAAATCAATAAATAAAATAAATAAAATCTCATATAGGTAAAGCATATTATGGTCAATGGTAAAAAAATTGAAAATATGCAAAATAATTTTTTCTATAGATTGAAAAAAAAAGATATAAATTAGAGAATTTTGCACCTATGAATTTGTTATTTTTTCATTTCAAACTCAAATCAATCTTATTATATTGCACTATTTTAATAAAAATGCAATATTTTACATCAAATTAATATTTAAACAAAAATTTAAATTAATATTTTATTTCAAATCAATTTTAAATCAAATCCAAACAAGTCAAAAAAAATTAGGGAATAAATAATTATCAAAGAGTAGTTATTAGTTCATCTCATGTGGCCTTTACATAACAAGCATCTCAACTACTATTCTTATTTAAAATATTTTTAATTTCCGGTACTTTGATTAAATATTATTTTTATATTTTAACTTTTTTTTTTTTTTTTTCAGTAATACCTTGATTTTATTATTATTTTTTTTAATTGTCGCGTGCATGTGATTCCTCCCATTAATTTAATAACAACTGTGCACTTGTTAATCATTCTGCTAATCTTGGCTTTTCTAGTTAATTATTATTTAACTCTATATTTCGAATTACACAGATAAATAAATAAATAAATAAATAATTTTTTTATTATAACATTGATAACCATTAGTGCTTGATTGGGTTTGGATTTGGGATTTATAATTTTGGAATAGTAAAAATAATAGTCTCTCCGTCCAAGAACTAGTCTGGTTTGTGTTTGGCAAGAGATTTAAAAAATATTGATATTATATTAACAGTAGGTAAAAAATACGGGTAAAAGATTTTTTTTGTCTTTGTTAGTATACTAGTGTAAACAGTAGTGGCAATTGTGTAATAATAATGAAAAAGTAAGAGTAGCTTTATAGTGATATGATTATTTATGGAAATGAAACTATTGTTTTGAAACGGACAAAAATGGTAAACAAGATTATTGTATTGGGACGGAGGGAGTATTTGATATTATATTCTAAATAAAATAGTATTTTTATATTTAATATCTTAAATAAAAAAAATATAATATTATATATTATGTAGTTAATTATATTGATTTATATTTGTTAAGTATATTTTAATTTAATAAATTTTATAAAAAATAGAAATATGTTAGTTGTTATTACATAAATAAAGCAAAATATTTCAACTATTTTACTTAAATGAGTCAAATTAGGGCACATAGATAAATAAATAAATAAATCATACTCCCTATGTCCCATTGAAAGGTTGTCATTTTTCATTTTCGTCCGTTTCAAAATAAGGTACCATTTCCTAATTTAGTAATTGTACTATTTACCTAACATAATAAATATCCTTACAATTTACAATATATTACACAAATGTCATTACTTTTATATTACACTATACTGATAGAGGTATTTTTGTCTTTTTTTACTACAATTTAATATAATCATAATATTCAAAAATCTACGTACAAAAAGCAAACGCTACTCTCTCACCGGAACGGAAGGAGTACTTTTTTTTATTATTATAACATTGATTACCGTGGTGCTTGATTGAGTTTTATATTTGCGATTTGTAATTTCAGAGTAGTAAAATTAAGTATTTGATATTATATTCTAAATAAAATAGTAATTTTATATTTAATGTATTAAATAAAAATATAATGTTATATGATGTATAATTAATTAAATTGATTTATATTTAAATATATTTTAATTTAATAAATTTTACCAATATATATATATATATATGTGTGTGTGTTGTGTCAATTGTTATTACATAAATAAAATTTCAACTATTTTATTTAAATGAGTCAAATTAGGGATTTATGAGGCCTGATCAGTTTCTACATATTTATTTATTTTCTTTAATTAATTATTTCTCTGCTATAGAATATATATATATATATATATATTTATCTAATTATTTCTGCATGACCAATTAATTATTATAGATCGGAAGCCAACCCATAATTATTCAAATCTAATAGAATTGTTTATAGAATATTTTAAATGTAGTTTCAACTAATTGTTATAATTAATAAATAACACCTTGAGTTAAATAAAATATTTATAAACGTAACACATATTTAATTAATTGAACAATATAAAAAAAGTTTGTAATTTTATTTTTTTTTACTATAATTAAATTGAGTTACATCCTAAAGAGTTTATTTGATTTTAGTTTCAAATTAAAATGGCTATTGTTCAACTTATAAAATCTTGAATAAAATATACTCCCTATTTAAATAAAAATCGAATTATATTGGAATTATTTATAAAAACACTATAATAAGAACAAGTCAAAGCTATTTCACGACCATTCACAATTAGGAATTATGTTACATCAAATGAAAATTCATTCGATGGGGTCATAATTAAAATCAATTATTGTACGCATTCGCAACTTTAAGCAACCGAATAAAATTAAAAATTCTATAAACGTTATTAAAATTTCAATGCCCCCGACAAAACAACGAGTTGAGATGGGGCCGGGTTACAAAATGGCCCCCCGATCCAATTTTCTCAGCACGGCCCCCTTTCTACGAAATCCTATATATATTTTTATTTTTATTTTCTTCGAAATAATTAAGTCCAAAAACAAGAACATGGCATGGATCAAATGATCAAATTTTCCAAGAAAGAAAATCCAAAATTGGGATGTGAATAGGTGAATGAATATTTGTGGGGGTTTCTATTTGGAATGTTCGAATATATGAGAGAGAGAGAGAGAGAGAGAGAGACTTAGAGTGAGAAAATAGAATAAAACATGATAGGTATGATTGTTTGGTATTGTAATAATCTAAGATGGTCAAAGGTATCATGTCATATGGGCACATTCAAAAAAATAGGACCCTTTTTTCTCATCATACTTTTGTGAGAAAAAGACACTACACATGTCTTGCCCCAATTTAGATTTTATCTCAAAATATAGAGCCGTTAAAATGAATTAAATTCGTTAGATATATAAAAAACAATCTGAAATAGAAAAATATTTTAGAATAAATTTTAAACGACAACAAATAATAATATTTTTTATGTCCATTAGAACGATACTATTTTATATTTTTGTCGATTTAAAAACAATGGTACTAGTTTTTAATTTAGTAATTGTACTACTTACCTAACATAATTAATACTTTTACAATTTTCACTATATTACACAAATATCGTTACTTTTATATTATACAATCTAATAAGGGCATTTTTATTATTTTCACTATAAATCAATATAATATTAATATTAAAAAATTTACGTACAAAAAATAAATATTACCAATTTTATGAGACGAATGTAATATTGAATTCAAATATCAAAATATCAAACAATACCGTTAACATTTAACGTATATAATATATATATATATATATTGTATTTTAATGGAGGCAAGATGACTGAGGTCCCCAAAAGGCCTTTAAGGCAAAGACACTTCCCATTAAATGTGGGACATTTAGCTACACCTATTATATATATATATATATATATTTTTTATTTTTTTTATATTAGGTACAGATAATTGTATTAATAATATAGTAGTATTTTATATTAATTTTTTTTAGTGAATAAAATATGAATATTATATATACATTAATGTGTGTATATATTGTATTTTTAAAAATAATATTTATAATATTCAAGTGAACGAACTGTATAATATCCTAATTATTACTACAATTTTATATTTTATTTTATTTTATTATACTATTTATATATGTTGTTCAAACACACATTTATAAGGCAGCCATATGAAAATAAAAGCACTAGTCAACTTTTCAATAATTCTTTATTTAAATTTATTTGTTATTCTTGGGGTTTTCTTCTTGTAATTCTAAGTCTATTTAGCTATTTTCGTCTATTTGCTGTTACCATTCTTTTCTTTATTATTGAATTATTAAAGTTTCATTCTTTTAAATATTTATTTCGTTTACATGAAAATATAGGAAATTTTTTTAAAATCATTGACTGATGCATTAGCATAAACTTGTTAAATATTTATTTATTAAATCCTATAAACATTTGTTGAATTATACAATTTTGTTCATATAACAAGATAGGTAATCGAACCAATTCTCTACCTATTATTGTAAACAAAAAAAAAAAAATATTATGTTTTTATAAATACAAAATCGAACAAATTATATGTAATTTAAATATATGCTGTCC